TTACTCCCTTCTAATATCCTTCTTCCTGATTACGCTGTAGAGCTTCCTTCCTCTTTCTTCTCGCCCTTCTTGTACCAACTTATGATCTCAATGTCGCATGAAACTTTTGTCATCGGAAAAGCATTTGGGAATATGTTTTCCTCGATGCCTTGGATATTGGATTTATATATATCTTTCTTCGGAATTGCCCCAACTAACGCTCGAGAGATACGATGGTTAAAAATTACCGTTGAAAATAATTCGACTTTGAGTCCCGTCCAGTGCTTTTACGATGTAATGAACAATAAAATGTCAAGTATAACGCTTGACATTAAATGTAATTAATGTTAAACGAGTATTTTAAACGAGTTGAAGCGAAGCGAAGTCAAAGTGTTCAAATACCGTGCATCAATGACAACGTCCCAAAGGAGAACATATTTCAATGACAGAGATAAATTGCACGGAAGATTTTACTTATTTAGACATTGTTTTCTTCGAAAGATTCTCAAACGATTCCATCTCGGAACGTTATAAATGTTTCTCCATTATCGCGATAAAAAGCAACGGCAGCATTTAAATTATCACAAACCAATGCGAAGTATACCAAGGAATGTATCCAATTATCCCGTTTAGTTTCGTTCGACGTGTTTCCTCTTGGCTGTAAAAAAAGTGAGAAACACATATTTCACTCCAATACGCTTCACGAATACTTTTTTAATTAAAAGAACCGTTTCGTTACCGCGACGTAATTAGCGTCATTTAATCTTCCCCTCTGGGACTCGTTTTAATTGGAAATTCGGTGGTTGCGCGCAATGATCGCTCAGGAAATCGAAACGCTTCGTTTACAATCATTGCGCTTTAAAGCGCGATGACTCGAACGAAACAAACGAAATTAGGCAGAAAGCTGTTTGCTTGTGTCTATAGATAGATCAACGAAACGATGTGCCGCTTCAAAGGCGTGGATTTACATGGAAATTATTTGAATCTGGTTAAATGATATAATGATAGCGTCGAGAACCAACCGGCGTACAGTAACGAGGCTCGAATGTCTTGATACGTTTCCACGAATACTAACCGTGCAACATTCGCTTAGTATTATTTGTTCACGGTTGTATATTAATGCTATTTTAATGACGGTGTAACGGTACTCCAATCTGCAAGAATTGTTTTATCCCGGAGAAGTGGCCAAATTAGCGGCACGAGTCGAAGTATACCGTAATGAGTTGATTCTGAGGATCACAAAACTTTGGAGAAGAACTGGTCGTTGAAAGGAGCCGAAGACAATGCAGATTCATTCGCGGATGACTTTGGTGTCACTTTTTATATACGGCACTCGGAACTTTGGACTTCCGGTTGGGAAAAGAATAGACCGCGGACGCGAAACGATAGATCAGCAACCGAAGAATCTAATTTTACGCCATGCCAGCTCCGATTTCTCTCCGTTTCAACGATTTCATCTAATAAAGCTCGCTCGTTCGCTGCGCTAACGAATCCCATACGTGGAAACGATATTAAGACTCGGAGTTGCTAGGTAACCCGGTGACAAGTAGACCCTATGGTGCATCGAAATTACTGTTTAATAGAAATGTTAGTAGCGTACGAATTTAATATTTCACGATGTTCGCTGCGGAATCAAACCGACGACCGTGCGCATAGAATTTCCATCGACTGCTGAACAGATTGCTAAACATTTTACGCGATCATCGGAAATTTTTAAACTTTGTTTAGCTATTCTGCTCGTTTGGACGTTACCGACAAATTAGAACCGAAACGCTTAAAGTTCCGACGCGAAAACAAATTCCACGTCTTCGGTTTATGTTACAAATGAAAGGCATAGTGCTTCTAAATGAAGGCCAAGTGCGTTCAAATTGAAACTCGAAGAAAGTCTGAAGCGCTCCGTATTAAATTATTATTCATAATCCTCGAGTCTCCCGACTCGAAGTAATTTCGCTCTTTCCGCTTTGCGCGTAGAAATTTCAGCTGAAATCTTCGAACAAGCCACGGTAGCGAGACGTCCTAATGAAAAGAAGGACCGTCGATCAACTAAGTGGTTGCTTGGCGCAAAACGGTGACTCGTAATTTCCAAGAAATCCGAAAGCAACTGTCAATACGCGAATCGAGCGATCGATAAAGCTGGTGAATGGCGAGGAAAGCTTCTAACGCGAAATAAGCTACGAATAATGCTTCGGTTCGATCACTTTGCACCGACGTGGCCGAAAGGGTGAGCCAGCAAATCCATTTCACGGAGTTTTACCGAATGATAAAACCATTTCAAAGGGAGTCCTCCTAAAACGCTTTTTTAATTGGCCGTTATCGAGAACAAGGAGTCGAGTCGTTAGACAGAAAAGAGGGCACGGGAAACGTGTTGGTCAGAAGTTTTCTGGTTCCAGCCAACGATCATGGCGAACATCGCGAAGTTTCTTACGTCACGGCAATATCGTCGCTTTTGTACGATTGTACTTGAATTTTGAGAGGAGTAACTATGGTGGTGTTGTCTCGAATACGAAATAACTCTAAGCGTGCAATACGTTTAATCCACGATGGATACGGCGAGCGGTAAGATCGTTGTTGAAATTGAATCCCCGCGTGAAAAGGAAGCTTCTAAGTAAGCTTGCGTGCCGTAGCCGATAACGCTAAGTTGGAGGCTTAGCTTAAAGGAAATAAAGATAAATGACGGCATTTCGTGCACGACAAATTGAAAATGGAAGGGATGCTATCATATATCAGTATTTGTTCTCGCTTCTTGCGCATTGGCAATAACCCGCGACATCTCGAGAGCCTATTTTTCCCAATTAAGAACGACAGCCATGGCAAATGTTGCAATGGGACGTTCAAATTTCATTAATCTTCTTCTGCTAACCTGTCCGATTCATTCCCTCCCTTCTTTATCTTTCGACTCGTGACCCTGCACGAATTTCAGAACTTCGAGCGTTTACTTCCGAGACTAAAGTCTCACCGACTCGTTACGCGTGATTTATTCTTTACTCTTAAATGTTGCGGACAATTACATTCGAAAATGGAACACATAAAATTTCTTTAAGTCCGAAGGACCATAGTTCGCAGGTCAATTTCACGCCATTCTCTCTCGATTGTTCTCTTCAACAACTCTGTCCTTTGTTCCTCCGGTACCATTTTCCACGCGCGCACTTCTCCTGCTCGTTTATCATGCGCTTCTCCGGTATCCGGCAAAGAAACCCAAAAGTAAATTTACATTATATCTTATGCATCTTGAAATTTATGACGCGACTGCTTGACTGAAACATACAAATTACCGAGCTCCAATTAAATCGTCCCTTAACTTGATATCGATCCTCCTCGCCGGCGACGAAACTAGATTATAACTAGATTTCGAACAGGAATCGTGATTCGATTGTAGCACGATCCTGAATCGGGAATAACTACATTCTGAACGCTACAGCTAAATGCATCGTGATTCGGTTACGATTCGAGCTTCCATCGATCGTCGAATTCTTCGCGAAACCAGCCTAAACAGTTCCTCTTCGCGACCGGTAACTCGATAACCGCGATAAGCTATCGATTTTTCTCGTTGCATCTTGACCCAATGACGCAGATTCACGGAGAAGGTAAACATCGACAGCAGTTTTCGAGTCGAAGCACCCTTTTTCCAAATTTTAATCGCGCTTTTTGTCAATTCAGACTCGATACAATCGTTGGCAAGGTTCACTCGCAGTCGAGATACACACGGTTACATCGAGCAGGGCTTAAATTGCTTTTTCCTCGATATCGTTTTAAATAAGAAAAAAAGTGTCGTATCGCTGTTCGTTTCATTTACGGCGAACCCATCAGCTTTTCCACTCCAGCGAGAGCTTCGAATCCCGCCGCGGTTACGATGTGCTAGCCGGAAGAAGGCCAATAAAAAATTCAGAAACCAGGTAAAACTATCGTGTGCGTCTTCTTGCCGTGTATATGGAAGATTTTCCGGCTACACAGACATTTGCATTCACCGAGAAAGCGAAATTCGTCGATCTCGAAGGAAGGGAACGAAGGAGGTGAATTCCACTCTGGCTTTTCGACAAGAAAACCTGATCGACGTCAGGTAGCGGGACAATCTATCACCAGGCTAGTTCTGCTACTGGCTTCGACATAAAATCAATGCCGATCCTCATTTCCATGTAAATTATCTCTGACATAGTCTACCGTCGAAACAGGCAAATCTAGTGGCTGTGTATCTATTAATCTTTACGTGACGTTCAAAAAAATAACTTTTATTTCGATCATCGGGTAATAAAATTTAATGCAAATAATTTGCACTTTGTATTCAATAACAATATCAGAGGAAATATCGTTCTAAACAGTTAAGCGAGTGACAAATTTTCATTAAGTTGCACTTTAAGTAGATCGAATACACCTTTAATTTGTTCGCCGATGGAAAGAATAATCCACGATAATCGTAGATACTTTCAAAGTGGAAGAAATTGCAAGCAGGCTGGGTCGATGCATCTCCATTAGTCAAGAAAGTATTCTCGAGCTGAATCGGAGCGAAGAAAGCGATGAATATAACCATTGACGACCGCCTTATCTTTTCTGAAGCAAACTCGCCGATTGGAATGCAACGTGACGCGGAACGAACGTCAGGAAAAAATCCCGTGAACTTCGATTCTTCCATCGATAAGATTCATAGTTGATTTATGCCAGTAGCTTTTATTGCGATTTCTTTCGCGTAGAGAAGGAGACAGCCCAGCTTAGAAGGCTTCCAGACGAGCTGATCCTCTCGATAAAGCCGATATTTGCGTATACACTGCATTCTTCGTATAAATCAAGCCCCTTTCTATCGACTCACGAGACATCGCTGATCCCATTCACCGCGAAAATCATAAAACTCCGAACAACGCGAAGTAAATAGAAGGAGAACGACGAAAATGGATAACGATCGTTTTCGTGCTCGTACAAATGATAAATTTCAGATGTTATTAGAAAAATAAGAGATCGAATATTAAGGACAAATCTTCTTTTGTTCTAACGTAACCAAACTGTTCGAATAATTTGTCGCGATATCAAACATGAGTGGCCCCCCAAGTAAGCAGGCTGTCGTCGAGTTTCGGACGTCGAAGAGTCGTCCCTCGATGCAGACGTTACAAAGACCTAGCCTGAGAGCTGCGCCCAGCGAGGTAAAATTAATTACCTAACCTAAGAAGTAAAATTCTTAGGTTAGCTCGATTTACAACGTCATCGTTTCAGAGCAAGAGGAGATTGCTATCGAAGATCTCTGTTTTCGGCTTCCTCGGAAGTCGTATGTTCTTCCATAAACGCGGAGATCGATTAAAGGTACGTAAAATATTTCATCTCGACAAGAAAAGAAACATTCGATCGGTCGACTATTCGAACTACCATCTAGGCCATCGATGAATATTCTAAACACTTATTGTGTTCGATGATGAGAACGTTTACTACATAATAGTCGTTGATTAATCGACGCCATTGACTTAAACCCAGGTCCCCAAATATCAAAACACCTATCGTCTGGAACCGTTTCGCGCTTACCACGCAGACGACGTCGACAAAATTGTGCAAAATATCATGGAGAGGAAACTGAGTATAGTCACGTCGTACGATCCGCAACAAGCGGCTCAATTAACCTCCGAAATCGGAACTGACGTGCAAAAAGCGATCATCAGGAAGGATTACGACAGGTAATCGCTATTCTCTTTCTTCCGAGGGTCAATGTGCTTCACGCCGCAGTAGAAATGTCTACGCATAGTCAGACAAGTAGTCAGACATACGATAACCACTAGCTACCTTCGGTGACTAACACAATGGACTTGTCAGTATTAGTTTAACCCACTGTAAGCAACGTGTTAGCTTCAGACAATCAGTTAGCGAAATATTGGTACTCGAGAAAAATTCGCAAACACTTCTACGAGCAGCGTTGAACCTCGAGGTTGTCGTAAATTCTTTCGTAACAGCTGCCCACGGCAAAAATCGTTCGAGTTACGAGTTCCTCATGTTTTTAATTTGAAATTCAACGAGAGCAATTGCATCTTGATAAAGTGAGCATTGTTTCGCGAGATGCGCGCAACTCGGGGAATCTTCGGGCACGCCTTCGTTAAAAACATTTTTGCTCTCTATTTTCGAGTTGCTCGAGCTGTAATTTAGATTAGACTTAATAATTCTGTTACTCTTGTTACAAGGTACAAAATAGTGACGCAGGTGGGTATCGGGCAACGTCTCGATCAAGGCATTCACGCCAGCTTTCAGTGTCTCTGGGACGTGGAACGCGACAATTATTCCTACTATGTTTTTGAAAACAACCACATATACGCGTGGTGCTGCGTATTCGGTATATATTACGAGTAAATCACCTTTCATGTAAATACGATACTGGTTTTACTATCTTAATTTTTACCATTTCCTTTTTGCTATTACTTTTATACTGCAAGACATCTGTCGATGACGACATATAATAAAAGAAATATAGAACGTTGCAACGAGTACTCTTTCAGCGCTTGAATAATAAATTACCGAAAAGCAAAAAATATTTTGCAATCGTTGGAAAAGTTCCGATCGATTACGAAGTGACCACACGGTATTAATATTTATTAGTTTCGCAACTGTGTCCCTGTTCCTCTTCCTCTCCCCTTGTCTTTCCGTACAGCCCCTAATGTTCGATTTTCAGCGATGATTTATCGGCAAACTTTTCGCTGGCTCGTCTACCCTTCGTCGGAATAATAGTCGGCGATTTAAAGTTTCGAAAACATGCTCAACATTTTTATAGATATTCACAGACTTGTTGGAACATTGTGGTCGATTGGTTTCCAGTTCGTTCAACAACGAGGCAATCGCCGTCATTCGATAAATTTGTAGTTTCAGAAATCGAAGTATTTTCACGTGAAATAATTATAACGTTTACGCGCTCGTAAATTATTCTCCTTCCTTAAAGAGACTACATTCCTCGGTAAATTACTATAAAAAAGTTAACGTTGCTGCTATCGACAAAAAGTGGTTGATAAGATGAGAAGGCGAAAAACGACTATTCTGTTTTATTATAGTTAGCTAAAACTCGTCGAGTTTGAGATCCATAACGTCTTGACGATGCCGGCAATTTCCGAGCCCGTAGATTTTTCGATAATGCGATTACAAGAAATACAAGCGCCACCTTAATGACCCGGTTGGAAATTACCGGGAAATGTGTGGCCCGTCGCTCGTTAAATTAATGGCGCAATTTCAGCACCGTGCCGCGTGACACGAGACGGCCTTGTTGCGCGAGAAAACACGCGGAAAATCGAAACAAGCATTTCCTATTAGATCATTGCGCATCAAATAATCGATTTCGAAACAAAGCTCGATGACATCGAGGCATTACAAAGTACCGCCTACGCTGTGTCAATTTCGAGCTTAAAATTTCACGAAAATGAAATATCTGATAATCGTTCCTGTATTGTCCGACACAGAGTATTAATAATATTAACGAATTAAAATCCCATTATGTCGGATCGCTTTCATCGAAATTGAAGCATCGAAAGATAGGGTTTCGAGCCAGAAGAACCGAATCTTGAGAAAGTTATGGTCTCCCTGTTCGAGCTCATTAACTTCGAGCAAGTCGTTAAATACGTAAGAAACTTACCTGTAGTCCACGGGACTATCTGCTCTTATAACAAATTCACTAAAACTGTTGCCTGCACACCTAACAGCTGCCGTTCTAAATCTAGCGCCAACTTTCGGATAACAAATGGTGGGCGGAATCTCTGTGGACTTTCAACTCGCCAAACTATAATAAAGTCATTAATCCAACGAACCATTTCTGCTTCGGTTATGTAGGCATGTATAAAAATTTAATTTACCTTCCTAATTTCTAACTCCAATGACTTTCCGGTTCCGAAGCTCCGACTGTTGCGTTATAATTGCAGTCTACTGTAGTTTTAAACATTTCAAACATTGTTCGATACCGCGATGGAGTGTTCAAACTACTCGAAAGCTATTAAAAATTCATCGATTGTTCGAGCAGCGAGCAATTTCGTCCGCGTTTAATCTAAATTCCTGTAGCGGAATTAAGTAGAAGAGATTCTGCGTCGAGCTGCTTTGCTTTGTATTTGGTTCGGTTTTCGCGTCGCATAAAGCGAAAGGAATGCAAAGCACCACGTTCAGTGCCGCTTTATACACCGAGTACATTCATACCAGATTTCGAGTCGGTTCAAGAGACATTATACGTAAATTTAAATGCTCCGGTAAACCGGATGAAGAACTGAATGGATCAACTTGTAAAGTTGCACGTTCCGACAGACACACTAATAATCGGAAGTGGAGTTCGCTAAATTTCGAGTTTAATAGAAACGACCTATCCGTTTCTACGTTCGAAGCGGTGCTCGAATTGCTAATTCGGAAACTTGAAAATTTATCGGGGTCACCTTTTAATTAAAAAATTTCGAGTTCGATAATTTTATATAAATTCTCGGACGTAATCGCATTTGTAGAACCTTAGAGTGAAAAATTGAATAACTTACTTTTCCTACTTTCGTACTTTTCAGATCATTTTCTTTACGCGATCTACTTCGGCTCGATATATCGAGCGATACGTTCACCGTCACAAAATGTTATAGAACAATTTATCTAAGATTCGAAGTTTCAAAGAAAATTCGCTTTGATCTGTAGTGACTCTTACCTACCTGTTATTTTACTTAGGATAAGTCTTCATCTATGCTCGCGAAAGGTTTCGAGACAGTATCGAAAAGGATTATAGGCAAGCCCGTTAATCTTGTAAGAGGAGACGAAACTTGGAGACAAGGGCGTCGAAGGAGACGAGGTACATTGCCGCTATCCGTGGTAGCGGCAATATCCCACCGGAAATTCCGGTGATCATGGTCAGCGGGACAAGGAAGACGAGAGGTTCCGAGATGTGTCCCCATGAATTTACATTGGCGATGTGTCCTCGTCTCCGTTTCGTGGCGGCCACCTAACAGATGCTTCTCTGCGATTTGCATAAAATGAGACCACCAGCCAATGCTCGCTCTGTGTCCCCGTGGGGACATGTGTGCCATTCTATCTACGCATAGCTGGACTTTAGAACTGTCTCTTCCATTATCGGAAAACGTGGTACGGATTTAATACCGATAATCCGGTTAATCGTACCGTTGGGCCAAGTCGCTGCGCTAACGTTGCATTGAAATGAACTTAAAAAACTGTCACCTACTTAATTTTATTCTCAAACATCAAGTTCGAACACTGCTTTAATTTGCTGAAAATTAACGAATTTATTAGGTGAAAGAAATAGTATTCGTTAACAGACAAACCGCAATTTATTCTTTTACAGAAATGTTACAGTCAATTTTGGCAGTAAGACGAAAACACATCGAAATTTCTTACACCTTGTAGGGTATATAGCAACAGTTCGTTTTTTCGTTAATAAAATATTTGAAAAGCAAGTTTCATCCATTCATAGAAAATTCAGATGCGTAAAAACTCCACTCGGCTGTGGGAACGATAACACGGTGCGTTGTCTTCGCGAAAGCACGAAGAAACGCTGGCCGCTCACCGAAGTATCGTGTTCATCAGGAGTAGTAAACTGAACAAAATCGCTCTCCTGTTGATGTTGCCAGTGCCACCGTGTTGCATCGCCGCGGGATGTTCGCCTGAAAAGGAACTCGATTCACCAGAGGTTCGATCTATCGCTACGATTCGAAAACTGGATTGCCACGGAGAAGTAGAAATTTCGAGGAAAATTGGGAAAATTTCAGCGGCGAACAAGGAATTTACATAACGAGAACGCGACCCGCGGTTTAATTTCAATTCACGGTTGTTTCTCGTTCTCCCGATTTCCCGAGCATGTTCGTTAACGAGAAAACTGTAACGAGTTTCACGAGTTGCAGCAATTGTTGCACGGCTACATCGAAGGAACAAGTGTCACCGTAATTTCTCACGCTTTTCTTTCCTTTTTCAGCCGTCGCTCAAGATGCATGCACTTTAAAAAGCAACTAGTGATGGAATTAAACGGTTAGGCCACCTTTAAGCCAACTTTCTTTTCATTCAAAAGTTATACGCGTATTTTAGGTCTCAAAGGTGGCTAATAACGCAAATATCGATACATATCAATTACCAACATTCGCGTGAAATCGGTACCGAAAGAACGAATCGTTTTGATCGAGTGGAAAGCCATTTTAGATTGATTGACACGCTTGAATTCGAGCGCCATAAAGTTCAATCCTTTTACGAATATTAAGCATTAGATTGCAACGCATTGTATCTCCATTCTAATCCACCCACTCTATCCGCCATATTGACAAGCGACGCGCCTCGTGCGTGTTTTTAAAAGACCAAATTAGCAGCATATTGCAGACTGCCGTAAAATATGTGTTAATCCCATCACTACATGCAGCGTAACGATCGAAAGTGCTCGAGCGAAATTTCCTCCTGCAGACTCTCTCGCTCTCTGATAAGGGTCTTTCGCGAGATAGATGTTCTTAAAGTATCTCGACGTTCTTTGATGCTTCGACGGGATCTCGAGAGGTTGATGGAATAAAGCGGGTTTTTTTGTGTCGATGGAGAAAAGCTTTCCTTCGAGACTTAATCGAGCGTGTTTCATCCTCACCGTTCAACACGTGAACCATCACGCTCGCCGGGGCAACCTTGCTCGAGACGCACGTGTAATTTCCGCTGTCGTTGAACATGGCACGGGTGATTAGCAATTTGCTGGTGGTACTGTTCTTACCTTTCTCGGTTTCTAAAGAAACGCCACCCCTGTCAAATGTTAAAGACATTATTACAAATCCCGATAACTCCCGCTCGAATATCGTTTCGTCTTTGTCGATCGTTAATTGCTTTCGCGAGAACAGCCTGTCGATTGCAGTCGATCGAGACGAACGGTGAAACGCGAACTATTTCTACGATATTTCGTATCTACGAAAAGTTTATAAACCTCTGAAAGTTTACAGTGGAGTTGAACACACCTTGGACCATCGAAATCGATCAGAGCACCGGCATGGTACCAAGTCACGTTGCTCGGAGGAATATCTTGCATATCCACGATGCAAGTCAGACTAATCGTGCTACCTTTCTTCACGTACACTTCTTCTGGGCCTGTGATCTTCGCCTGTACGTCTGATATTCCAAGAAGCAAAAACAGAACATAAGTAACGCGATATATTACCGATATAAGACGACTGTGAAGAATAAATAATTGGGAGAAGCCTAACTTGCACGCGATTACACCCTAAGACTTTGACGATTATTTAATAAATTACAGAAGCATAAAAAAACGGTACATTTGCTACACTCGCGGTAAATATTCAAAAATTTTTTCATGAACGTTTTGCAGTAGCGATAAATAAAATACTCGTACTTTAAACTCTTTATACCCTCTTCTCTTTCCTTCCGAGTCGTAATGCACATAAATACATCTAATTTTCAGGATTACCAAATTTTCGAGGAGCATCTGGAACTCACCTAAAACTTTCAAAGTAACCGCCCTATAAATCTTCGGTTCTGTATTAACTTGACACTCGTAAACGCCGGCGTCCCGTGGTTGCACGTAATCTATTCGCAGATTCCAGTCGCCGTGCTCCGGATTGTCGACTATCGTAAATCTTGCGTCACTCGTGTAAGTCACCGTCATGGACGTCAAGATGTGTAAGTCCCTTTTTCGAATCCAAGACACCTGGGACAATATCTGAATCAGAATACGGGATATTTCGTCCGTCGTTCAGCTACCCACGATAGTCGAACCCTTGCACGAATCGTAAGGAAAGGGACGATCGAACGTTCAAACGTTTCTTCCAAAGTTATCGCGAAACATTAGCAGAACCTCGAAAAGTTAATTCTTTGATCGATAAAATAATTTTGAGAACGTAATTGTGCAAAACACGAGGTCCCGATTATCAACAACACATTTTTTTACATAATTCACCGTTAATATTGCTTGACATTTTTCCTTAACCTCGTTTGCAAACTCACGCTTTCAAGGGGGAAAAACTCCGGAGAAAAACGCGCGCCACGATATAATTCTCGCTATTTTCTTTACTTCACTCGTTTGAAAGCAAATGTACCGAAAGTACGACGCAATGCATTCTCGAGAAAATCTAATTCTACTTGCACTTTGTAGAAAACATTAGGTTGTCGCGTGTTAAATGCTCGATTTCGAAGCGAACAAAGTCTGAGACAATTTAGCGACATAAAAATTGCAGAAAATAGCATATACTTATTTATACAAGGCTATAGAATTTTAATGATGGCATTTTGCAACGAATTAATATTATTTTGCACGAAATTATTGTCGTCAAAGGAAGATAAATAAATCGATCATTTCGCCACGACCTAATATTTGATTACATCGAAATCCTGATAAGAACAGTGCACAGTGTCGAAGACGAAACACCATTGTGTTAATTAAAAAAAAAAAGATGCGAAAAACTCACGGTTCTGTTGCCCAAATTCTTAACACGACACAACAGCACAACAGTTTGTCCAACAACGGCGGTCACTTTTTGTGGCGAATCTATATAAAAATACGTCCTCTTCGTCCCTCGTTGCGAACGTTCCCCTTTATCGGGTTTCTCATCGTCGACTCGTTGCACCGCTAAAATTCAGGCATCTCGCTTGAACCCTTGGAAACCTTTGCCTTTCGTTCACGAGCTTTTATTATCCGTGTTTTCGAGCTAAAGTGATCGACGATTGAAGCGCGTCACGCTAGTTAACTTTCGGAAAATGGTAACTTATTTTCGAGCACAACCATCGTATCAGAAAATTTGTGTACCGTAGCAATTTTACAACGAAAACCTCTTCCCTTGGGATTCGAATTTTCCGATTATTTCGGTCAACGAATAAAACGCGATAGAATGAAAATTTAAAAATTCGTCCAATGTTGATCTTTGTATTTTCATTTATAAAAGCATGGAGAAAGAATAGTATATAAAATACATTATGAAGTAATCGAATATTTAAACAATTTCATTCTATGTTTCAAAATAATTTCCTAATGTTCTCTAATACTCATTGATCATAGTTAATTCCGTTTGTTAATAACAATAATTCGATCGCCGATAATTGATCATCGAAATAAATGGTTCTCGAATGGTATATCTTAATATTTCTTGTACCTAAGTTCCTGTGACTAGAAGGAGTTTCTGCGTGTAACAGGTATCCGATTCCAAGCAGTATAAGGGCCATACCATGGAACGGTGCCATTGTTTTTATATACAAGACGCTTTCATTTTTACTCGTTGTGTTTTCGGTTCCCCCAAAAATCTGAGAAATCGTCGACAATCGTTAACGATTCCACGATCGTCCCTTGATCGTTAACGCTTCCCATCCTTCGTCTTCCGAAAAGTACTCTCTGAATTTTCATGTAAACCAAACGATCACCCACGAAACTTCCGGTGAAAAAAAAGTTAATCTAACCGTAAGACAACCATAACTACAATTTTATATGTCTGTTAATATTTGTTAGATAACGTAATAGATTTCTAACTGAACCACTTTAATAGAAATAAACTTATAGCGCGATATAATTTTTTATTTTATTTGGAAAATAACGACGCGTTTATTCGTATAAATGAAAGAAGGTACAACGTTTAATATTGTTTTATAATCGTACGATAACGCGTTCACGCTCGATCATTCGAGGCACGACAAAGGAATAGATTCGAGAACAACGCGTTCCGACAGCGTTCCAAATACTAAAAGCTAGTCCTGGATCGAGGAAACGAAAAAGCTAAAATCAGGGTGCAGTGGCGCCTCGCGATGCAACCGATATTTGCGATTGCGCCGACAACCCGATGTACCTTTCTCATCCTTTATCTCGATTGCTTATCCTCCTCCAATTATGCACAAGTTCTTATTTTCTTAAAAATATATTCTATTTTCCTCTTTAGTAATAAAATATAACGGTCGATTAATTTCACATAAACAACCAATTATACTTCAACGTTTTAATAATGATTCAACAAATATACATACACCGATTACCATTCAGTAAAATTTGTAAAGACATAAAAAAAAAGAAACAATACATATTTTAATAAACCTAAATGGCAATTCAATAAACGAAACATATTTTCGCAGGTACATGTACATGTATATCGATACAAACTTTTTTCAATACCATAACATGATAAAATTTTTACGGTATAACAACTATTCGTACAATAAAAAAATACAAGTATGTAAAAACGCTCAACAGTTAAGCAGTACTATGCAGCGAATATAGCACACTATCAGATCAGGCGAGCGCTTTGAAGTTCCTACGGATCATAGGAAGCACATCGTGAATTTTACGGAACTCTATAAATAGTGTTACATCTGTGTAAATATCTATAAAGTTCATAATTATGTCGAGCTTTAAACTTCAAGTTTAAAAATGTTTCTTTTGGACTTATGTACTATACATACACTCCCTCGTATTATGAACTTTGGAATGCTTAATTCCTAATAAAATCACCCTTAGTACCACCGGTTTTTGAAACTAGTTCTATGTTAGTTATTTTCATAGAATTCGGAGAAGCCGCATATTTGCACATGTCATATACTGTTAGCGCCGCGATAGTCACAGCCGTTAAAGCTTCCATTTCTACGCCAGTCTTTCCGGTACATCTAGCTTCAGCAGTAATTTCTACTCGATGTAATTCCGCATTTAAATACAAATGCACGTTCACGTAGGATAACGAAAGTTGATGACATAGTGGTATCAATTCAGGGGTGCGCTTAGCGCCCATAATTCCTGCCAACTGTGCTATGGACAATACGTCTCCTTTTTTAATATTGTTTTCGTTTATCAATTTACTTATATTCGAATCGACTTGTATAATTCCTCTCGCTATCGCGACGCGTTTAGTTTCGGCTTTCGAACCAACGTCTACCATACTGGCTTTACCGCTTTCATCTACGTGTGACAACGAAGAAAATAGTCTTATACTTGCAGAATTCTTAAGCGAAATTGTCCCGGGTTTTAAATTATACAACGCGCTGTTTCGTGAATTTTTATGACTTCTGAAGTGCACGCGTTTCTTTTCAACTGCAAGCACAAATAAGTAAAGTTAAATTTCTGACTCCGTAAAAATAGAATTTGACGTTATTGCTTATGGTTAAATTGAGCGATAACGTTTGTACGCATAGCTTTCGCTAAATTATATTTTATACTAATATAAAATTCCCACGACAACCGACTAACCCCCGATTAGAATCATTGGCCTGTTTTTCATCTGGGATAGATTGAACATTCCTGAAACACACATTGTCCAGAACATATAAACGTTATCGCTTCGCAACACTTTACGATGCAAAATAATCTTTTACCGCTCATATTAATCGCATGAATCAAATTCGTTTATAGTACCTGCATGCTGCTTCTTTTTACGTCGTACAGCAGCTCCGATCATTTCCTTCAAAACATCATCTGACGCTCCGTCGCGTAAAGCATCTCTGAGGGATACCTCGCCCTTTCCCTCGAATAAACACACTTTTAAATTTCCATCTGCTGTTATCCTTAATCTATTACATGAACTACAAAAATGTTCACTCATGGACGTGATGAATCCAATTTGTCCTGTAAATCCAGGAACATGATACGCCTATTTCAAAATAATATTTTTATAGTAACAGGTACGCAAATATAAATGATATTTTATTAAATTTCGTAAGTACATACTTTGGACGTATTATTAGGTTCGTTTGGAAGACGTTGTAGCTCAGGATATACATTTCTAATAATTGTTTTCATAACACTAAAGGAAACCATTTTATTCTGATTCCATTCATTCCCATCAAAAGGCATATATTCGATGAAACGTACATCGATTGGACGATCTTTTGTTAAATTTACAAAATCGATTAATTCGTCATCATTAAAGCCTTTCATTACAACACAGTTCACCTAAAATTTCATCTTACATATTTATTGTACAAACATTTAATTGCACATATTTACAAATATTTTGAATGTTTCTTTTACCTTCACAGGATTATAACCTAACTGAATAGCCAGATCTATGGCAGCTATAACTCTAGACCAACCCTTTCTACGAGTGAATTGCTCAAATCGATTTTCCTTCAATGTATCTAATGATATATTTATTGCATCTAATCCTGCACGCTGAAGTGCTGGTAACTGACGTGTTAATGTTAAACCATTGGTGGTAATTGCAACTTGTTTTAATTTGGGTAACTGCTTCAAGCCAGCTGTAATAAAATATATATAATGAGTAACACATAATTTTATTAAATATAAATAATAATTTTATTACAAATTCAATTATTTACCAATGATATCAACAATATCTTTTCTAACAGTTGGCTCACCACCAGTCAAACGTATTTTACATACACCTTCTTTAACAAATAAATCTGCTATTTTAATTATTTCTTCCGTTTTCAGAATACCGTCATTTTTGGTTAATTTAACTCCTTCTGCTGGCATGCAGTATAAACCTGTAATAAATATAGTACATTGTGCAATCATTTCAATTAAAAGCATAAATACCTGTTTCATGGATACATACACCGTAGATTACAGCGTTCAGTAATTGAAATACGTAAGTAGGTATGATGTCGTCCAAATGAATCCGTAAGAATGTCATTGTTACTTGTGTTGTCTAGTAATTCTCTAAACTGTTGCACCTATAACATTATGAAGTAAAAATAATATTGTTTTATGCTTTATGTTTTGTAGAGCACAGTCATTTAGAAAAATTATTATTTGACATTATTAATTATTAGCTTGGTTTACAAAAATTGATATGATTGGTAATTGATAAACTAGTAGTTGTCATAAATTCTTAAATAATTATATTATCACGTTTAATTAAAAAATTTACGGAATTCCTAAGACCTCCATAATACAAAGAAAAGTTAGAAAATAAATAAAACATTGGGTTCAAATTTGAAACGAAATGATCAATATTTTGAACACAGAAGAAGATTATACTTACTCTGGATAAACCACCTGGAGTAACAGCTGCTTCTGTAGATGAACACACAGCACCAACTAACCTCACGATATTAAATTTACGAAACATTTAAATGACACGTTATAAGTAGCAACTAAATTATAAATATATATTTTCTAACCTTAAAAGGAATGTTTGTAATTTTCTATACAAAAAGGTAAAAAATAAATCATACAATTTAAGGTTTTCTAAGACAGGTGACGTTTCCTCTTACGTATTTGACGATTTCATTGAAACTATACCGTGCACACTAACCATGTGGTTATCTTCAAAATATTGCTAATCATTTTCGATGGCCTTGAATTTAACAGACCTATTATCATGATGTAATCCTTATTAATCTCACGATATCGTCAAATTATTTTTATCGTTGCTTCTTTCAGCCAATCATCAAACGCTTTGCACAACTCTCTATCAATTTTCCATAATTCCCGGTATAATCTTGAGGGATGGATTATTGATATTTAACTTGTAATACATGATTGATTAGTAAAAAATACAAAATGTTATTTATCTTATAGAGTCAACAACATATATTTAAGGAGACATGTCTTTGTTTCCGGCTTATTCTGCTGAAACACGTAAATCTCCAGATTTAAATGAAGCAAATACTGTTACAAAAGGTTATTAATATTAAGATATTCTTTAAATTCCCAATTATGACATTGTTTTCACTGCAGTAAAATAATTTTAAAATTGTAGGAAATGAATCAATCAGTTGGTTGCATAACTCTAGTTATGTGGAACAAATTTCGTCAAGAAATCTTGATGTTTCTTCTAATTCTTCAGATGAAACTGCAAATGAAAATTATTTGAATAAAGAAGACATCTCACATGATGTTACTTGTTTAATTAAAGAAGAATCTGTAGTAGGTGAAAGGAGAAAATTGAAACATATTAAAAAGAGAAAAAAAGAGAGAAAGAAACATGAAAAACATGAAAAACCTCAATATGAACCAGAAGTAGAAAATATATATTTTGAAGACAAATACAGAGATATAGGAAATAACAATGTAAAAACACTTTGCTCTAGAGTAAGACCGTACTATAATATTGGAAAAAATCCTCTTGGTTTTGTTTCATTCAAACATTTAAAAAGAGATGCATATGAAAGATATTATACAAAAAATATTGATTACATAGAAAAAAATAAAAAGAAAAGTAATGTTATTAAAAAGGAATCTACTTCTAATGCATCTAAAGAAGAAGAGAATATTCCTCTGTGGCAAATTAGATTGGAAGAATTACAGAAAGCAAAAACTAAAGAATATAATGAAAAATTAACAGAAAATCCAAATAATATTAAATTGTGGCTTGAATATATCGAATTTCAGGTACATTTTGCATTAATCCACATATTATAATTTGTTAAAATTTTTCTGCATAAATAATGTATTATTTATAGGAAATATTAGGATATTTTCAAAGGTACCAAGCAACAAAGGATATTCAACGAGCAGTGACTTTAAAAAAATTATCCATAATTGAAAAAGCAATAGAGAAAAATTTAGAATCCACGGAATTATTGAAATTAAAATTATCTTTCATTGGAGAACTCTTACCAGCTGATGAATGTTCAAAACAGCTTGAAACATTAATTAGCAAAGATTCTGGAAACATTATTCTGTGGCAAACATTTATTATGACTACACAAGCTTCCATAGCAATGTGCACAGTACCAAGAGTTTTAGAGTTGTATTCAAAATGTATTTGTGTTTTAAAACAAAAAGCTAGAACAAATCCGAATATATATGATGAATGGTTATTACGTATGTACGAAATTTTAAGTTACTTTTACTTTATGTTGAGTAAAATTAGATAGTAATATTTAATTTGTTATAAACAGAAATATTATACTGGTGTCTAACATTTCTGAGGCATACTGGGCTTTGGGAACAAATGTGGGAAACAATACGTTTGAATCTTAGTCTAAATCTTAGTTTGAGTAAGGATAGTCTATGTTTTAAAAAGACCATTGATGAAAAAAAGCTAAGTAAGGGTTCTATAATTAGTATAAAATATTATCGATTATAATTATTATTATTCATTGAATTTAATATTACAGTTGGAATGGAAGAAGTGATATTAATGTCAAAATTACCACTCAATCAATTATGGCAAAGAACTGAATCCTTGAGAGAAAATTGTCATTGGATTAGTGTCAACAGAGAAGAATTAGAATTAGTTGGTGATTCTCGGAGATTTGTTGTACCGGATGATGTTGCAGATTTTGTACATCCTATACTTTCAAGAAATTTAAATTTCCGAATGGCTATTCATGCATTACTTTTACTTAAAGTTCCACTTTTACCTACTCGACACTGTATGTTGAAAGTATGTCTTCATACATAAAATTTAAAAAAATCTTTGTTCTTTTCTTATATCGTGAACAAAGAATATTCGTTTTATATTTCATATTGTTTAGATGTTATCTTTAGAAGAATTCGAATGGGGTATAGAAACCTTGGAAATGTTGCTTCCTTTTGCCTGTCCTATGGCAGGTGAAATAACTGATCATGGCCAAAGAAAGGAATTATTAAATGGTATACTTGAGGGACGTTTGACATCAGGTCCACAATATCTTATGTTTCATCCTGCACAGGAGTCCTATTTAGATTTTATACGTGAAATATTTTTTACAATTGCGGACCATTTACCGTCTCTACAACGTACAAATATATATATTTGGTGGCTTAGATTTGAAAGATTACTTGCTTTTTTCCATAAAGATGATCCTATAAAATATGATAACAAGTAAGTATATTATTTCTATCGTTTTACGTATTAACACGTTCATATAATTTATATATATTCTTTTTTTTATTTACAGAGGAAAAAAATTGAAAACTATATTAAAAGAATTTTTGAAAAAAGACACAAACAGGAATAATTTACATTTCTATAGAGAATATGCATTGATAGAGAAAGAAATAGGTAGATTTGACAACTGTGTGAATATTTTAGAAACGGCAATTCAATCTCAAAATATATGTCTTTCTGCCATTCATAACTCTGACGAAAAATTAGCGTTACTTAGCTTGTATCGAACGTACATCGAAGTTTTACTTAATTCGGAAACATATAAAGAAACTCACAAAATGCAAATATTAAATGTTATGAAACAAATGGTACCTGGAGAAAATGGAGATCAATTATTGACTGTAGAACAATATTTAGAGCACTGTGTAACTAGTTTATTAGAAGAAAATGTTTTGGAAAATGAAGAAGATACATATTTTTTACCAAATATTAAATGTGATACAATTGTATGTTACATATATTTTTTGTACATTCAAGGTTCCGATTTTAGCAAAATTATGAACATATATAAAAATTGCATAAATCATTATAAAGAAAATTGTTACATACAGGTACTATATTTTATATTTTCATTTTTATCATAACACCATTTACATGTATTTAATGTTCTATATGTACTACATTTATTTCAGGAAATGTTGTATGAAGGTCTAATTGCACTTTTGCAATTACATTGCAAGCAAATTAAAGAGGAAAATATTTTAAAAAGGGAATTAAATGAAATGTTAGATTTATATCCAAATAATTTCTTTGCCCTTTCAACATGGGCCTGTATTGAGGTAAAAATGATAATGAAAATTAATGTTTATAATATTATTTACGCATATAACATTTATTTAACAGAGTAAATCGCCCATTTGGAAATGTAACACTCAAATGTCCAAACTCCCATTGTGGAAAGCACTTGCTATATGTTTGGCAAGTCGTAAACGTATTCATTTCTTAAAAGAAATTAAGGATTCTGTTAGTATGAATGCAGCAATTAATAAATTAATACACTTTCATCAAACACTTGCAAGGTATATTTACAATAGCTTTTTATCAATGTTTTGCACTGTATACATGAAAATAAAAACAATTGTTTTTATAGAATACCAACCACTAGATGTTGCCCTCTGTTATGGAGATTATACATGCTTCTTCTTAGGGAATATAACTTGTGTGAAAAAAAGGGGGAGGAAGTATATCATGAAAGTGTTGCACAGTGTCCTTGGGCTAGAAGTATTTACATTGATGCTGCTGAAATTGCACCTCAACTCCTTACACAAGTACAAGATGTAATAAGAGAAAAAGAATTAAGAATGCATGTTACACCTGAAGAGTTAGACATCTTACGTGGTTAATTTTAATCACAGCTTACATGTTATTATAAATAATGCAATTAACTCTCTAAATTATATAAATACATAAATATGTTTTATTAAAATACTATAAATATATTTCTTGTTCTAATTATATATAATGTATGTAAATAAATAATTAACAAAAATAAATTTAAGTTTATATTTAAAAAAATAATTTTTATTTAGAAATATATTTCCTTTAAATTAATATTAGTACTAGCCAATTAGTATTAGTTTCTATTGAATATACAACGAACAAGTTTTCATATATGTATATAAGTAAATACACAGTATAAAGTTGTGAGTGCAATTGATTTGTTGATATACAACTGACAACTAAAAGTTGATAATTTTATATCGTATTACCTTGTTATTGAAATTTAATATAAAATAATAATAAATTGATGCGATTAATAATACTATTAGAACAATAGTTTTACTGAAATATAATACTCATATAATTAAAAACTTAGGTTAAGTTAGTTTCTATTTAAGTAAGTTCACATTATTATATTAATATTAATTAGATATAATTTAGAAAATTTTTATTCATAAATTCTGAGCTTACGTCTTCAATATGGATTTAAAAGCTGTTGTTGTTTCTGGAGAAGCATCAGAATCTGATGATGATAATGGAAGCATTGTTACCGTATGTCAATCCTGTAATATTTACAACTTCATTAGATATAAAATAAGAAATAATAGACGTTTTATATTTTACACAGGATACAGGATTTCCTTCTGTACAAACATCTAAGTATTGTGGTACTATAATTTCTGGGGAAGCTTCAGAATCTGATGATGGTAAGATGAGGCGTGAAAAAAAGTTTAGTAAACTAATAACAAATCTCTAAATTATTATCAATTAGATGGGACAAGTTTCAGTAGTGTCGTTGAAGCAGTCGATGCTATGGCTTGTATGCCTTATGCTGAAGTTAAAGTCCAAAAATCCAAAACATCTTCTATAAAATACAATAGTTTACTTCATAAGAAATTACGTAAGTTAAAATATTCATTTCAGGTAAAAGTATTATCTTTTTAACATTATTTTATTAATGTTATTGTTATACAATATGCATTGCTATTTCTAAAATATTATCTAACAATGTTGTTACAGAAAAGTCACTAATAACTTAATGATCAAAGTGATATAAATTTCTATCAGATTCAGGCTTATTTTATTTTATCTAAAATTTTAATTATTTAAAGTATCTTCTGATTTATACATTGTATATACATAAAGATGTGTGTTGTTTAATTTTATTAAGAAAATCTTCTCAATATTTAAATTGACATATTTCATAATAAAACAGATGAATGTAATAAAAGATTGGACAAAGACTTGACACAAATGGTTGAATCAACAGTTGACAATGCCATTCAAGAATTATCAACCGTTAATCGGCAACTGTTAAAAAATGAATTGATTCTTCAAGAATCTGTTTGTCAATTACGCAGCGCTTGCAACCGAACGAAAGATGTTTTAAATGCATTACAGCAACTCGTAGATGGCAATTTTTTACATTCAATTAAAACTTAATTTATGTAAATATATTTTCTTACATATTATTATTCAAATATATAATAGATAATGATAACAATCATAATATTAATAATAATAATAACAACAGTAATGTTACCTTAATATAATGTGTTAAGTATCAGTATTAAAAAAGCGTGATATTCTTAAAGGATTTAATGGGTAGGATATTGTTGAGCATTGGTTTTCTTTAATTGGCAGTTCTATTAAATATATTAATCGTTTCCTAATATGTTTTAAAATAGAAATAAGACATTATTCCTCTGTAATGCGCTGTAAAGAAAGATCATTAAAAATTATATATAGAACAAATTTATAATTACCGACACATTTAGGTGTTATCAAATATGCCTCTAATGATCGTTGCATTTTAAATATCCAAATGACAATAAATATAAATGTCATTTTATAATGTACAGATGTTAAGATATATATCAAAGAGTGTCACGACATGTTGTTTAAAATGTTTCTGTAAAGAATAAACATAAGCATTGAACTTATAAGCATTTTACTTATAAAATCTATGATAAACATTACTACATATATACTAAAAATTAAATGAACACTTTAGAACATTGTAAAGTTAATTTTTTCTTACAAGCATAGATGTAATAACGTAAATTTTATTTAACTACAACACTGATTTGCATATGTATAATCTTTTCAGAAACATCTGCACATTTTCTTCTTTTTCTGCAGTTTTTTTTATCAAACGCATAACTTTGGTATCAAAGAGCTGATATTGGTTTTTACTTACTACAGTACTAAATTTAGTGTATAATGAATCGGTGATTGTAATGGGGATGCACTCTTTCTCTATAAATTCAGTCTTAAACATTTCATCAATCTTCGTTGAACTAAAGCTTGGTATAATATTTCTACATACAAAACTTCACAAACCAAACAGGTCATCCTTCTACTAATATTGATATGACAACATCGTGACGGAATGTTTTCTGTGACATGATATTTCTATATAATTTTTGTATGTAGTACATTTAGATTATTTAATATTTAAATTGCATGTGTACAACTATGCATATGTATATAAGACCTCATTTTGCAGTGAAGCAATTCCTTATACCAAATTCTACAAAATAATCTATATATATATATATATATATATATATATATATATATATATATATATATATATATATATATATATATATATATATATATATATATATATATATATATATATATATATATATATATATATATATATATATATATATATATATATATATATATATATATATATATATATATATATATATATATATATATATATATATATATATATATATATATATATATATATATATATATATATATATATATATATATATATATATATATATATATATATATATATATATATATATATATATATATATATATATATATATATATATATATATATATATATATATATATATATATATATATATATATATATATATATATATATATATATATATATATATATATATATATATATATATATATATATATATATATATATATATATATATATATATATATATATATATATATATATATATATATATATATATATATATATATATATATATATATATATATATATATATATATATATATATATATATATATATATATATATATATATATATATATATATATATATATATATATATATATATATATATATATATATATATATATATATATATATATATATATATATATATATATATATATATATATATATATATATATATATATATATATATATATATATATATATATATATATATATATATATATATATATATATATATATATATATATATATATATATATATATATATATATATATATATATATATATATATATATATATATATATATATATATATATATATATATATATATATATATATATATATATATATATATATATATATATATATATATATATATATATATATATATATATATATATATATATATATATATATATATATATATATATATATATATATATATATATATATATATATATATATATATATATATATATATATATATATATATATATATATATATATATATATATATATATATATATATATATATATATATATATATATATATATATATATATATATATATATATATATATATATATATATATATATATATATATATATATATATATATATATATATATATATATATATATATATATATATATATATATATATATATATATATATATATATATATATATATATATATATATATATATATATATATATATATATATATATATATATATATATATATATATATATATATATATATATATATATATATATATATATATATATATATATATATATATATATATATATATATATATATATATATATATATATATATATATATATATATCATTGATTCATACAGAAATAAAAACCATTAAACTCTTATAAAAAACAAAATGCAACTAGATTTCAGTACAATATAAAATTATAATAAATAAAGCAACAACTTTCAATAAATCGTTTTTCTGCTAAGAAATTTAAGATTCATATATTTCATAAATACTTGCAAATACTTTAGAAATAACTTTTAGCCATCCATGAAAGACAGAAACTTAATTTCTGTACGTGTTTGTTTGCCACTGCATTTTTCAATATTCTGCATAGAAGATTTTTTAAATTTCCATGGACAATGTAAGTGTATTCAATTGTTGGAAATAACACGATGGTAGAAGATGGCACAATGAACTATTGTGCTATAAATATGATGGGCTCAATTCCAGAAAAGGATTAAAGTTTGTTGTAATTGGCGACCTTTATAAAATATGCGACGTCGCACTCGATACATATTAGCCAATGTGAGGGCGCCCACCCCCCACATGGCCTACGCTCGCTCCATCTCTCCACTACTCGCATACATCTGAAGAAGTGCCATCGACTCTTGTGCTTGTCGTTTCTCAGCCAAAAACCTGCCTGAGGCTTCCTTTAATTGTTCCAAAAAGATTCTGAAATAATTTTTAAAATAAATAATGAGATATTTTATAATATTGTAAATCAAGTCTTAAAGTCATTCATATACCTATCAGGCACTATATCAGCTAAGCTGTCTGGGTCCATATCACTAAGTAATTCTAAATCATTTCCACCAAGTAGTGATATATGAGATGGATCACCATGTAATGATGAAACTAATGGTTCTATTGGAGGCCGACGCCTTCTGATTTCATCTCTTTGTCCTCCTTCTACATTATCTACATCATCAACAACAATATAACGTGAAGCAGCTTTACTACTTCCTGCCGCTACCCATTTTTGATCTCCATAAAGAACCATTAAACTGGTATTTCTCTCCAATGTCGCAAAATATTCCTCATCATCTACCTCTGTCCCTGATGTGAAAATGACAACCTCGAATATATGCTAATTCAATAATTAATAAAAAAGAAAGAAATCAAAACCATGAAAAATTAATTGTAGTTAATTATTCTATTTGTAGTTATTTTAATCAAATGAAATTGAAGTTGTTACATAGTAAAGAAATAATCTTACCATCTTGTTCTAGAACAATTGTAAGTTCTGCGTCCAAAGGCAAAGACAAGCGATTTCTTGCTATACTAGTTAATTCTTTGAGGGAAGAAGCTGTGATTCCCTTCCGTTTTTCTCTGGCATGATCAACAATTTTATAAGGATTTCCCAATCCTTGCGATATTCCCGGTGTTTCTGACATATTGCTTTAAATTACAACTAAGAAAGCAATCTGAAAACTGCTTCCAAAGAACTTCGTTTAATTTTGTACTTTTCTAGTTCGATCAAATAACGATCAAACGTGATGAAATTATGCCATCAAAAGTTGAGTTTCTTCAAAAGAATTGACCACTACTAAGGCCTGATTATCGTTGCACATTCGTTTATCAACGTTACTGATATTTCTAATTGAATCGCACGAAATTTATATTTACACGAATAACAACTTTTAAAAAGTATTTTATTTAATGCGTTTTATTAGAAAAACGGTTGCAGCGATACTTAAAACACTAGATACATGCCGATAATTCGGATATAAAGTTGTACAATTAAAACATAAGTGAATAAGGGCAGTGTTTTGGATTGCATTGGATCGTTGGTTTTGTAAGGGCCTTACTACGATTATTAATAATTCACGTACACAGATAAAAAACTTGAAAAGCGTAAGATAAGTTATGTCTGAGTGACTGAACTGACCGTATGTCAACTCAACACTGGGTCAATGGTGCAACTACCTCTCCTATTTATATTCTCTGTAGGCTACTGCGTATGGTATGTCCGAAAGACACCCTCCATGGTATTTCCTCCCAACATGGCACCCACACAGAAATCAATAACCTACCCCACTCTGGCATTCATTTTTTTTTATTAACGGCAGATGAATTGTTTACGTTACGAGACGATCATGCTCGTTATGAATATTTTGCGTTATAAATTTTTATATAGACATAAAACAATGTATTTATTTACTTACAAAAATTTATTTATTAATGGTCTTATAATTTTATTTGAAAATGTAACTTTGAGTATATGAATAATTATAAGGAAAAATAAAAGAATACCTTTCATTGATAAATATCGTTGTTATAACTTATCTAAAAAAAAATTATATATGTCATACAGTAAAAGATTAAATTTTGACATATAAATATCTGTAATCAGTAAGAAATATAATACCTATACAGTCTACAAAATATTATTTATGAATACATATTTTTAAAAATAATAATGTTAATAAAATAAGATATAATTTTACTAGGATCTGTGCACTTAAGACACAGCACTGTAGTTAAATTTAGATCAATGAGACTAGATACTACTTTAAGTTTAAAGTTAGCTCAGAGTTAGCCCAGTTAGGGCTCTTAGCTGAGCCACAAGTTTGAATGGAATCAATTAAATTTACTTAAAATATTATTTAAATTAAACCAGAAATGCCTTTACCAAGTGGAAATAAAGAACCGGATGATAGTCAAACATGGGAATTAGCGGAAAGGTGTCTTCTTCCAATTGCATTCTCACATGCAATCGCAGTCATTTTAGCAACTATTTTAAATACATTGAATATATCTCAAACATCTAGTTTTGTGCTTTTTCTATTATTATTAGTTATATCTATAGGATCTACATTATTTTACCACAATCTAAAGGTGAGTAAAAATGATCAAAATTATGTACCTTTATTAACGTATGATAAAATTGTATAGTATCATGTGTACATATTAATTCTAACATAAATAACATACATGGGATGCATTTTTTATAATACTTGTATAAAGAAATATAATGGCACAGGTAACTGCTGCAGGGAAAGCAGTTCTCATTACAGGGTGTGATTCAAGAGTTGGATATACCTTGAGTAAACAATTGGATGAATTGGTAAGAAAAACTTCATACTTACTTCTACTGGTATTATTTATTCCTGTTTTTCTACATATATATATATATAAAATTTGTTGTTAAAGGGATTTACTGTATTTGCTGGATTTAACAGTAAAAATGAAAATGAAGCAATGGAAAAATTGAAACAAGAGGCTTCTGGCAGATTACATGTACTGCAATTGGATATTACTAGCGAACACGATATTCACTCAACTTTTCTTTACGTAAATGAAAACTTGCCAGATGGTGCACCAGGTTTAACATTATATTTCATACCTTTTAAGTATTGAAAACTGACTTGTACACTCTATTTCTAATTCTTAAATTTCGCTACAATTGTTTGTATTAGGTTTATGGGCATTAGTACATGCTGCTGCTTGGGTGACTCTAGGTGAATGCGAATGGGTGCCTCCTTCTGTATTAAAACGTAGCATAGATATTAATTTCATTGGCCTTGCCCGGTTAACTCAAGTAATCATACTATGATATTAATAAATATTAGTATATTAATATTGATACAATTATATTAAATGACAGTTTTTATTTAAAGGTTTTTTTACCTCTGATTAGAAGATCAAAAGGCCGTGTTGTAATAGTTAGCAGCCTTTTAGCTCGGATACCAAGTCCTGTTCGGGGCATTTACTGTGCAGTCAAGGTAATTTTTCAAAATTTGCAATATATTATTTACTTGATTATACCTATAATTAAAATATTGTACATGCATATATTAGGCTGCAATTGAAGCTTGGGGAGCTTGCCTCAGATTAGAAATGAGACGGTGGGGAGTAGATGTAGTTATTGTTGAAACCAGTGAATATGTATCTGGAAATGCATGGTTAAAAGATAATAGCTCATTATTAGAACAAGCTAGAGAAATGTGGACACAATTAGATCCTCAAACTCGCAAAGAATATGGAGAGAAACTATTTCAAAAAGAAATGTTAAGTCTTGAAAAATATACACAAGGAGAAGAAGCAGATTTAACACCAGTAACCAGAGCTTTAACAGATGGGGTAATAAAAACTTTCCCAATGAGAAGGTATGCACCAGTTTCACGTAAAGAAAGAATACAGGCTTTATGTAGTGATTATCTTCCAAAGCCAGTTTATGATATATTATATACAAATTAAAAATGAAAATATAAAAGCACGGATGATAATAAATAAAGAATTATTTAAAGTATATACTTTAAACTACTTATGAAATAGCATTAAATATTAAACACTGCCTCTTAGTAAATCCTTTATGTTGTACTGTTACAAATAGATTTCTTATAATTTTACTTTACAACTTATTTTCATAAATGGAACATAAAATTGTAGTAATGAGTACATTGTGTTACATGTTAATTATGTTTTAAACTTTATTATTTTTCTGTATACATACAAACCATTCATACATATTTAAGTATACGTTCCTTGTGTATATCTTGTTACAACAAAGGCTCAAAAGAAAGTAAAAATGTTATAAAAGTATGGAAGTTATAATTATTAATAGCATATTTTAATAATAAAAACAAAAACGTATACTATGTTTATATAACTATATAATATACTTATTACGATCAAATAATCATCTTCCCCTTCATTTTTCATTCATACAAATATGCTTACGTACCAACTCAACGACTAACCATCATTTCGCTTTTTCTATGAAAGTGCCATCTTTGATGATATTTTTTCACTATGATTTCTTGCACGAATTTATATTATATGATCGTAAGACAGATTGCGCTAGTAGTTTCAACGGTTCCATATCTTATAATGTCGGTAAAAATATATCTACGAAACAAAGATCCTATTACACGCAATTTAAGAAAATCAGATATGAAAATTAAATACTTAATATATTGATAATAAATTAAAGGAAAAATGCATAAACCACATGGAATTTATTAAAATAAATGTAGATCGTTCTCCGTTAATTCACTACAAACGAAGAGAAAAGGGTGATAAAAAGCAAAGTTCAATTACTTCAACGGACTAATGCTAATTTATTTTTTTTCTTATAAATGAGTGTACTCTGTTCAATCACTAACATCGGTAATTAACAAATAAAACAGCGATATCTGGAACTATATTCTATCATATGTAATTTGTACATACGACGAAATTCGATATATGTTTGTATACGTACGCGCGTGTGCTTTCTATACATAGAATTTTACGGCTGTGTTAAGACTTTTGTGGTGGTGTATAGTTGGCAGGGGGAGGTCTTTAGCCCCCTTCGTGAGGCACACGCCGGTAATGAGTGTTTATACTATAAATGCGGCGACACCAACAACAAATATAACAGTATCAACAACAACAACGACGACGACGGCAGTAATAGTGACGACGACGGCTACGTCGACAACAATAACGGCGCCGGCGGTTGCCGTGTCGCCTGAAGCTGCACCTGGTTGGATAGAATTTTGTGAGAGACACGCCCGCGCTTCAGCTTCTGATTTTGCCAAGGCTTTTTGTACTTACGTCAGTTTAAATTTACCCGAAAGCGCTAGATCAAATCTTTCCCACCGTGATTTTTTAAGGAAATTTGTCGAAAGCTTTTGTGAACATTTCGAAAGCGAATATCTGCGCCGTACGATTAGGTCTGTTACAATCTTCAAGATATATTCTTATTCTTAAGTTTTTATTTATTTAAATATCTTTATGTTATTCAGTTATGAATCGTATGATACCATAAAATCTTGAAAACAAAATTATTAGTGACATATTGTATTATTAAGGATATATATATATATATATATATATACATACGTGTGTATGTATGTACATGTGTGTGTGTGTGTGTGGTTATGCATATACAATTTTTATTTGTGCAATATTTTACAGGTCACCATCTTTATATGATACAAGACATACACTAACTAATGATAGGGATATTAATGTTGTGAGTCAAAATAATAATGCTCCTGTTCGTATCTCATCTCATGAAGAATTCAGTGATTATTCCGAGCATGATGGAGATGCAATATCACCAAAACCAACACATAAGCCTTTTTTCCGCCGTTTATCTTTCAAAGGCCTTAAAAAGGGTAAAAGCTTCTTTCATAAACAACAAAGTGATGAGGTGGAATTATCACATAGTGAACATCGCAGAGATAAACATTCAAAAGCTAAACTTTCTAAAATCGTGGTGGAATGTAGAAAAGAAGGCATTGTTAATTCCTTGATGGGAGAAAATATTGATGGAACTCAGAAATGGGAGAAATCAAGACTTGCCTTAATAAAAGCAATTGGTGGATATATGTTAGAATTTTATTCTCCTCCAAAAGCAGTAAAGCCACGTAGTGGTGTATTTTGTTCTGCGATAACTGAAGCCAGAGAAACAACTGCATTAGAAATGCCAGATCATGAAAATACATTTGTATTAAAAACACAGAATATGGAATTTGTAATAGAAGCTCATGATTCAAACGATATGAGATCATGGTTAGCTACTATTAAATATTGTATGCGTACAGTGCAACAAACTTTTATTAATCCTAGTTCTGGAACAGATGCTTCTGGAGATTCCTTAGGTCATGGTTCATTAACTATTGTTAATGAAGGAGATAGACTGAGAACTAACTCTGCAAGTAAAAGTTCTCGATCTACGGCTCATGAGCATGGAGATGAAACACCCAGTAATCCTCCTGAGATACCTCCAAGACTTCGTGTGAGAAGTAACAGTAATTTAGAATTATGTTCATCACAACAAGATATTGAACAAAGTAAGATACTTTTTTTTATAATCAGTAAATGAATACTTATAGTTGTATAGTTCATACAGTAAAAACAATAAAACTTTGTTATAGATGATGGTGAATTGGATTTATCAAGTAGTTTAAGGGAATATCCATGGTTTCACGGAACTCTTCCTAGATCAGATGCAGCACAGCTTGTTTTACATAGTGCTGCTAATGGTCATGGTGTATTTCTTGTTCGGCAAAGTGAAACAAGAAAAGGAGAGTTTGTGTTAACATTTAATTTTCAAGGCAGAGCAAAGGTAGAATTACTTTTTTAAGAGACCTTAACAGACAATTTGAACTTCAAAATAATTTATTTTTTAACTTTTATTGCAGCATTTACGTATGACGTTAAATGATCAAGGACACTGTAGAGTTCAACATCTTTGCTTTCCTGCAATATATGACATGCTTGAACATTTTCGTCAAAATGCTATACCTCTTGAATCAGGTGGAACAGCAGATGTAACTTTAACAGAATTTGTCGTAGCAAATCATGCCATACGCTCAGGACATCATAATGTAGCTGGAGTAAATCAACAACAATTGCAAGAAAGAAGACCTCCAGCAGCTCCAGAGCCAAGAGAAGTAAGAGTCAGCAGTGGAAGTCTAACTCCTCTTGAGTGAACGCGAGTGGCCAGCACCCACAGTCTGAAGTCTAATCTACAGACAGTGAGTAAATAAATAAAGTGATGCACCCATTTTTCGTGCGGCTGATAATATATATTATTATAAATTGATGTTTGAATGTTCATAGAAATTTTATCAACTTTTTTTTTATAATTCCATGTAAGTCCATATTCGGATTATCTTTAAATATTTACTGTGATCAGAATACAAAAACTGTTTTGAAAGGATCCAATTGGACAAAGCGGAAGAGGATTCGCTGGTTGAAGCGGTCGCATCTAGTAATTAAACTCGTGCAAAATAAAAGAGAGGGGCGATGTGTACAAAATATGTCTCTTACTTCTGTGCCGTTCCTGAATACTTCTTGTGTGTTGATCACAGTAAACAAAATTTTTAGCTGAAGTTAAGGTTTTTTTTATTATACATATGTTGATTATGTATTGCCAATAATTTATGTTATAATCTTAAAATCATAATTTTTATTAAAATATATGACATTTCGTTTAATAATTAATGATATACATATTCACATTTTTTACGTACAATAAAATCCCCTTTAAATTGAAGATCCACTGAGAAGCTAGACTAAGCCGCGATATGCTAAACTAAACTACACTAAGTTAAAGCTAAATTTATGACTCACTCCTCAAGATCGGTTCTAAAAACTACAATCATTTATCTTAACTACACGATTTCAGTTCCTTGTCGTGAGAAATTAAGAAGGGACTTTGTTGTATGTTATTAAAAAATTTTTATTTTTTCTATATTGTAATAAATTTATATGTGTTATTATGTTATTTAAAGTATATAATTCTATTTTGCATCTTGTATGATTTTCTATTATTTCTAAATTAGGTGTAAGCACTTTTAAACTTCTAATCCGAATGTGGAAAATTACTAAAATTATTAAAAATATTATTGTATATAATTAATTTTGATAGAAGCAATTGTCAAAATTTAATATGCCTCATGTCAAATGTGTGACAACTCTTAATATTAAAGGATTTTATAGATATTACGAGAAACAATGGTGCTGAATAAGTATGACCGTGGGGCAAGGAGCTCGCTTTTATACGTAAATTGTTCTTAAAATTTCTGGTTCTCTTCATTTTATAATTAAACAGAAGAATGGCTCTTCCATTTTTGCATCATATTGTTTTCAAAATCCAGAAAATTTAAGACATATTTTAATTATTTCGTTTAGATTAAATTTAAAACAAATAATTACCTATTTGTTAATATATAGGTGCGCACATATGGAGGTTCTATACGAACACGTACAGAATCACTGGAGAGACTGGAACAACAAAATAACATTATTGAACAACAAAGTTCATCATTATCTAGTGGTAGAGCAATTCAAAACACTTACAGTTTTCTTTGACGTTGGATTCACAATACTTTACCATCAGGCTATAATCCAGTTAGTTCTTTAGATTAAATATTTTTCCTATCAATTTATTTCATAAGCAAAAACAAGGCCTTAAGCTTACCCGTTGCCATTATTTAAAAACATGATTAAAAAAAATATAATTGTTTTAATGTTTTTTTTTTTTTTTGACGGCAAAAGTTTTTCGAGAATTTTATTTATTGATTTGTTTTCCCGATCTGTTATAAAAAATTAAAAATTTGAAATGTAAATAGAGCTTGTGAGCTGCACTTTTTTTGCACGTTCAGATATATCAGCTCAAAGTATTAAATAATAATTAAGAATATCGCGGCCTGTTTATCATTATTCTATTACAGTAATATGATGTAATATGAAGTAATATGGACTAATATGGAAAATATTCTAAAATTATGGAAAATTATTCATCATACCAATTAATTTACTTAGGTATATGTCCTTTTTATACATATACATATATATATATTTATATATACATATATATAATGTAATTACAAAAATCGTTTTGATATGATTCTATTTCTTTTTTTATAGATTACAGAATATAATAGTAGCAGATAATACTATAATTGAACTTTATTTAAAAATTTAAACTAGTCTTAATCTTATATCTAATTAGTATCTCAAAATTTTTAAGCAAAAGATACAATTGTAATGTTATATCTGTGCAAAATTAAAATATATATAATTGTGCATTGTTTCATAGTAAAAGTACTAGATTTTATAATAAATTAAGTGCTAAAACATATTAAACTTATTAGTATATAAGAATTATTCATATTATAGAGCAATATGGCTGAATGTGCAAAATTAGATTATAAATAAGTGTATTAACTACCCAAATGCATGAAATTCACAGAAAGCATGTGAATATTTTTTTTACAAATGTTGAACTGATTTTTATTATTGGTCCTATTTATAGCAGTAAAATTTGACTGTTTTAATACAGTTTGCGTACATTCTTTTCTTTAAAGAAATATCTCTATGAACAATAACTGTTGATTTGAATATTAATTTTTATTCAGTTATTATTTGTAATTAAAATCATATAAAGTACCATAAACAGCTTGTGAAAATCATATTTATCTATCACACGTATATTACATATAATGGAATTTGATATTGTAAAAAGGGTGAAAAATTATTTTTAAATAAGATTTAAAGTACGGTGAATGTAAAAACAAAGAAAAAAATTCGTCAGAATATTGCGCTTAAATTGAAAAGTTAGCAACAGAAAATTAAAATTATCATTAGATAATATATGTATAAAAATATAACAAATTTTTAATAAAACCCATATAAGATACAAACCAAAATCGAACTATTTAACTACTACATTCCTCTGAAAATGTATACTAAATTGTTTTAGCTTTAATTTGCATTGCTTGTGAGCTGCACTTTTTTTGCACGTTCAGATATATCAGCTCAAAGTATTAAATAATAATTAAGAATATCGCGGCCTGTTTATCATTATTCTATTACAGTAATATGATGTAATATGAAGTAATATGGACTAATATGGAAAATATTCTAAAATTATGGAAAATTATTCATCATACCAATTAATTTACTTAGGTATATGTCCTTTTTATACATATACATATATATATATTTATATATACATATATATAATGTAATTACAAAAATCGTTTTGATATGATTCTATTTCTTTTTTTATAGATTACAGAATATAATAGTAGCAGATAATACTATAATTGAACTTTATTTAAAAATTTAAACTAGTCTTAATCTTATATCTAATTAGTATCTCAAAATTTTTAAGCAAAAGATACAATTGTAATGTTATATCTGTGCAAAATTAAAATATATATAATTGTGCATTGTTTCATAGTAAAAGTACTAGATTTTATAATAAATTAAGTGCTAAAACATATTAAACTTATTAGTATATAAGAATTATTCATATTATAGAGCAATATGGCTGAATGTGCAAAATTAGATTATAAATAAGTGTATTAACTACCCAAATGCATGAAATTCACAGAAAGCATGTGAATATTTTTTTTACAAATGTTGAACTGATTTTTATTATTGGTCCTATTTATAGCAGTAAAATTTGACTGTTTTAATACAGTTTGCGTACATTCTTTTCTTTAAAGAAATATCTCTATGAACAATAACTGTTGATTTGAATATTAATTTTTATTCAGTTATTATTTGTAATTAAAATCATATAAAGTACCATAAACAGCTTGTGAAAATCATATTTATCTATCACACGTATATTACATATAATGGAATTTGATATTGTAAAAAGGGTGAAAAATTATTTTTAAATAAGATTTAAAGTACGGTGAATGTAAAAACAAAGAAAAAAATTCGTCAGAATATTGCGCTTAAATTGAAAAGTTAGCAACAGAAAATTAAAATTATCATTAGATAATATATGTATAAAAATATAACAAATTTTTAATAAAACCCATATAAGATACAAACCAAAATCGAACTATTTAACTACTACATTCCTCTGAAAATGTATACTAAATTGTTTTAGCTTTAATTTGCATTTAATAAATACTAGGGAAAGAAGGATTTATATATATATATATATATATATTATATATATATAGTGCGAACAGTATCACTCCTACATTAACCTCTTTACGTTGTACAATTGTAAAGTATATGTATTTTATTGATTATATAATAACATATAACTTTTAAACAACAACAATGTTAATTTTTTTTATTATAACATCTGCTGTCAATGATATAAATAAAAAATAATTTGCATAAATAAACGAGCCAATACTATATCTGAACATGTACGAATTATACGTATGTCACTGAAGGCAAATAGATCTAAAAAGTATTGTTAATCATCCAATAAATTTATATTATCATTTTAGCAGTCAGATAAGAGTTATTTCTGATTAAATTAACAGTGCTCTTCCGTATTTATCACAGAACATATAATTCTTACAAGGTGCCACGTCAACTGTATAAATATATAACAGCATCAATATGGCATCTCAGGTAACGAAATTTTTATTGCAATGTGAAAGTGAAATGTTAATTAAATAATATAAATTTAAGGTATACGAATTTGGTGTAGAAATGACATGCCAGGGATGTGCTAATGCAGTAACAAACGTACTTAACAAAAAAGAAGGTATGAATTAATGTTTTTTATACAATATTTAAATTTCAAATACTTTAAAAATGTGGAATAATAACCCAGATATAACACATGTCACTTTTGAAGATACTCATTCTATATATTGACTTATAGGTGTTAATGATATACAAGTGGATTTAGATACAAAAAAGGTATTTGTAACATCAACCCTTTCTTCCGATGAAATCTTACAAACTATTAAAAAAAGTGGAAAAGCATGCCAGTTTTTAGGAGTAAAAAAATAAATATAATATAAATTTAATTTTGTTCCTTAAAATTTGAATACTTTTAAAATTGTTAATGTCTTACATGGGTAACATCTTGCTTTTTATATTATATTTAAAAATTCATAGAAATTTTATTTTATTATTAAATACATAAATAACATCCAAAAACAATAATTATATTTTAAGTATGACGTTTTTAAATATCTACCAGTCTATTATATTAAAAAATGTTATTTTATAAATAAAATATAAAGTTTACTTTTTTAATTCTTCTTCTAGTATTGTTAAACGTTCTTCTAAGTTCATAACAGCATCTTGTAATGACTGCACTTCTTCATTAAGTGCATCTACTACATTATTTGGATGTGTATCAGGAAATTGTTTAAATAAATGTGATATATTTACAACACGGCCTTCTTCAATAGGTTTTTGGTTTCTCATATTAATTACTTCAGGTTTCATATTCTTTCTTAAAGCTCCAGAATCAGGTGCTTCACATTTACTTTTCTCAACTTGAACATTTACATTATCAAATTTTTCAAGCAATGGCTAAAATAATAAAATAAAATGTATATGTAAATAGAAACATTTTCTTACTATGAAATAAAATGGTATAATTACTATTTTCAACATTTCTTCGTTCCCTTCAAAAACATCCGCCTGTTTAGATTTTTCATCATCAGTGCTGAAATCTGATTCTGAAACAGATGGAATTAGCTGTCGCGGAATTTTACGAGCAATATCGTCCTTATCAAAATTAGTTTTCCACATTAACAACTGTTGATCGGCTCCACCAGAAGCAAAAAATTCTCCATTAGAAGAGAATGTTATTGATGTTACACTTGTGCCAGTAACATGTCCTTTAAGTGTGTAAATTGGACGGCCCTCTAGCAAATCTAAAACCTGTTTAAGATGTTCTAATATGTTTGATAAAGAGAAATTAAATAAATATAAACAGTTGTATTTACCTTCATAGTAGAATCACTAGAAGCAGTTAACATGAAATTGCCTTGTGGATGAAATTTTACCATGTTTACAGGTCCTTTGTGAGTTGCATAATGTTGATATAAAGAAGCAGTACGCAAATCATATAATTTTATACAACCAGCCATATTTGCAGATCCAATAACAGACCCACTTGGATGAAATTCCGCATATGTAGAATAAGCTGGTAAAATACTTGTTTTAGATACTTTTTAACTTATTTGAAAAATGAATAGAATAAAAAAGTTTTAAATACAAGTATATTTTGTACCTTTTATATCGCTAAACGTTTGAATACATCGCCCACTAGTAATATCCCATAATTTTATTGTTTTATCATCGCTACAAGAGATTATAAGCCTACCATCCAAAGAAAATTTAGCACATCTGACCCAACTTGTATGACTTACAAATGACATGAGAAATTTTCTTTGACATACTGTCCATAATTTTATAGTTTTATCATCTGATGCAGTAAGTAACTATATATTATAGTAATGTAAGTTTAGATATTTAATAAAAATAATAAATGAAAGAATAGTTTTACTTTATCTAAATGATGAATACCTTCTCTCCATCTGGGCTGAACTGTACAGATCTGACAGCTCCTAAATGAGCTTTGAAGTCTATACATTGACCTGTTACTTTAGGGACCCAAATTCTAACTGATCTATCTCTAGATGCAGTAGCTATAATTTCCCCCGATGGTGCATAAGTAACATCAAATATAGCATCTTTATGTCCTTGAAATCTGTATGCTCTTACAGATTCTTTTAAATTCCATAGTATTATAGTCTTATCCAAACTGCTTGATGCAAGTTGAGTAGTCTCAGGATGAAAACATAAACTTGTAATAGTATTTTCATGACCTTTAAAATGCCTTTCTATTGTGGGATCACAAGCAGTTTCAACCATTATTCCACTACAATAAATAATTTGTATAGAATTACAACAACATGACTACATATAATATTTAAAAAAATGTAAATATGATATTCTTAACCTAAATAAAATTATACATATTATTTACAAAATATTCTGTAACATATTTATCAATATAACGACATTATATTCATTTTAAGTTTAAATTACTTTATTTAAACACATTTATAGAAAAAATATAACATAAAATATTTAATTACCTTTACTTGTATTATGATGACGATTATATGTATTATAAATGTTTTAAGATATATTTATAAACTATTTTATGCATATTGAAAAATATATGCACTTTTAATAAATATACTAGGATGCAATCTTTCGTGACAGTGCAATTCGTTTCCATAAAAACATGAGGTTTTCAAATCACATTCAATTCAAAACGAATTTTAACTACGTTAATCAACAGAAATACTATATTTGGATTTCTTGCTTTGTTTAATAACACATGCGCACTAATATAAAAAAAGTCAATGAAGATAATATGTGTATAGTATTATGCTGAACAGTATATGTTCATATATAATTCAGTGTTAAATCCTTTAATTATGTCATTTGTATTTATTAAAAAGATGCAATTTTTCTAGAGACTTTTCATCCCCCTTCTATTGAAGCTCCTAAACAGTGTTGGGCACACGTGAGATTTTATCTCACGCGAGAGCTTTATGCGCATGCGTCAGCTTGTTGCCAATGCCGTACCTAACCGGCACACGCAGTGGTGGTTGATGAAGGCACCTTAATGATTCTACATAATTTTTCAAAAATTCTTATAATTGCACTGTAAACTATGAATGTATAGGTTGGGTTAGATTACATTAGGCTGGGTTAGGTTAGTTATATATATGACTGTATAAATCTATACAACTATATATACATATATTATAAGTAAAATTACAATCGTAGCTCTTAAATTCTAAATTCTAATTCTAAATTAAGTTCTAATCGTAGCTCTTAGCTCGGTATAGTTCTCTGAAGATTTTTTAAAGCCTTCAGAGAACT